TTTGTCGATTTTACTTATGTTTAAATAATTATAAACAATAGTCCCGAAAAGATATATTGAATTTAACCAGTGGCGGCTGGTGGATTTTGGGTATACCAATATTTCAGTTATTAGACATGGGACCCACACCAAATTTATAATAGTTTATAATGACATTAAATAGACAAGTTTGGCGCAAACAGAATTTAAATTGAAGTTTGCGAAAAAAAGTTAGTTTTTCCTGTCGCCTCACCCGCCTCCAGGCCCCCCTATTTAAGATAATTCAAATTAAAGTGGTGCAATTTATTATCTACTATAATTTATCGACAAATTTAAAATTTTTTTTAAATAATCCAAGTATTACAGGTTTTATACCATTTTAAATATTTTTTTATTTTAATAAAATAAATTAAATTTAATTAATTATAAACATTCATAGAAGTTCTGGAAAAAAAATACCTCTGAGGGTTTATTCTAGACATATAACACTACGTCCTCCTAAATTTTTGTGGGATTCGGAGTTGATAGAAATCTGTACTGGAGGGTCAAAGTTTGCAATTATTTCAAAATTACCTTTAAAACGCAATATTACCGATGCTTGCAGACAAATAATTTTTTTGAGTTACTCCTTTAAAGATCATACCTACATCAACGAAAAAAATAGCAAGAGATCAGTTTAAAATTGAATTTTTGGCGGCCATGGTCATTTTACTGAATTTTTCTTTTTTAACCAAGTCCCAAATAGAGGTTAAATCATTAAACTTAAATGGTCTAAAGGTCTAAAATATTTTTTTATACTTACTAGAAGAAATAATAAATAAAACCTGATAAAAATAATTTAATTCCGTTTTCAAGTTATTGAGAGTAAAATTTTCGAAAATAGGCTAAAAATAGTGAATTTTAGACCTTTAAATAGTCATTTCTCGTGACCTATGGCAGAGGCCTGAAATTTGGTTTGTGTGGATCTTTTATGATGTACTCCAAGATTCCCAAACAAAATCGATTGACCCCTCCCGAGAATTCATTTGAAATTTAATTGAATATTAAAATATATTTTTGTATTAGTTCTCTATATTTATATATATTCCTACATTGTATTGTAACGCATTGTACAACTCAAATAACATAAATTTACCTGTACCGTAAAATGCACATGAAAGCAAATAAAATGCTAATTTTTAATAGTTTATAGACCATCATTTCTTTGACTTTGCTTGCTACAGATAGAAACATGTAAATTTACATTGTAAATTTTTTAATTAATCAAACTGCAAAATTTATATGGAGTTCTTTAGGGAACAATGTTGGAACAGTTACTAATCTTTTTGCACATAACTGTCTATATTGTATACATTTTAAAATGCCCATGCTTCCAATTAATTTCATTAAAACCTTGCAGTCCATTTCTTCAAACAAAATAAAAGTAACAGTGCAACACGCGATTATAGATTTTCCATTCAGCAGCAGTAATCTATTCCACGTGTAATGATAGTGTTAATTTGAAGGAGTCTTCTGGACGGTTCTGATCGAGGGTGGATTTTATACCATTGTCTCCCGGGATTAGCATGAAATACGACTTGCCCTACAGGTTATAATTATATCAGCTCGATGCACCATCATGATTTAATCTTTCAAAGCCAAATTAATTAAACGAATTTACTTATTTATTGATGTGCTCTATTTCTTACTCTATAAAATAATACCATGGAGTAAGAGAATTAATTAATGATAATGCAGGTTTGACTTTAACTTTTGAACCCAACAAGCAAGCCACTGTATACATTTTAAGATTGTTTTATAGGTACCTACATACCCAAAAAAGTATTTTTTAGAATCAGTATTATAAATAGAGTTTAAGCGCATAACAATTTTTGTATTACAACATTCATAAACCTAAATACAAATATAGAGTCCACTGCACAGCAAATTTAAGTTTTTGCTTTTGAGCATCACAAAGATCCCTCAGTGTCAAAGTTTGACAGTGAAACGTCAAACGTCAACATTATCTACCCATGACAAAATGTCGCAAACTCTAAAATTACAATGTTTAGAATTATAAACTGCTTGAAAAAAAAAATAATACATATATGTAATACAGGTCTGATTTGTGTGAGCTGTGTTGTATACATATTATGTATACAACACAGCTCACACAAATCAGACCTACAGCCTCGGATAACGCCTTGGCAGCGAACTAAATAGTTTTCATGTGCATAATCCAGACAGTGTTTTTATTGTTTGATGCTAGTAATTCTCTATCTGGTGAAAGAAGTCATTATAAATAATTATAATTATTAGTTAAATAATTATTTAACTAAAATAATTAACAGGGTAGGGGTCAATTTAGGGTTTAAACCCGGGCCAGGGAAAAGAAAACTATAATAAATTAGAGTCAAATAACATTTTATTATATTTTTTTTTATTTTTCCTTACTTTTTACATTATAGTAGGTATATTATGTATCAAGTTTGATAAACGCCATTTTATACACGAATTTAATTTAGGCAAGAGCGAGCTTGCGAGCGAGTGCTTAAGTTAATGAGTGTATAGAAAAGTTTATAAACGAGGTGCATACTATACTTTTTCTACGACAAATACTTATTATTATCTTAAAATGATTTAAATCTAAAATATGTATAGAGCGCCATCTATGAACCATCAGGTGTCACATTTTTACATTTTATAAACACAATTATAAAGGTTATAAATCGAAATTTATCTTGAAAATTGACAGTTTTTCACAGTGAAAGTAAAGGAAAAGTTTTATGAGGACTTTACAGTTCGTGCCCGAATTTAAGTTATAGTTTACTGCCGGCGAAATTAAAAGGTCAGTACAATGTTCATATAAACTTTTCAAATATTGGCGTTGAGAAACTATTTAATATTTTTGTATTTTTGTATTGAGATAATAAAATAATTTTCACATTTAGTATTATTTTACAAGAAAGGCACTTTATTTTAACGATTGTATGACATTTGACAACTGTCAACTAACTTAAAACTAACTTCAGCCCGTGACTAAAAACTTGATGCTAACTTCAGCCCGTGACTAAAGCGCCGTAAAGCCACAACTCGTCAATGTCTATTTAAAAGGTCACAGTGTCATGGAAACATGTACGATAAGGGGCGTTTTAAAGGTGGGAGTAGAAAAAAGTTTTTACTATCTAGTTCCTATAGATGGAACAAACATTACACTCTCACTAAGAAGCTTGTTCGTTTTTTTCGAGAGAAACTAACTTGAAGAAGGGAAAAGTGAAAATTTCCATTAGGAATGAGCTAAAAAGATAATCTGGTTTTAAACTGTGCAAAAATAGCTATTTACATACCATGGGAGGAAAATAGTGCTTTTCCTCCTACAAATATCAATTTTTATATTGATATTAAAATTTTATATTTCATTATTTAAAAACAAACTTTAAATAGATTTGTCAAACATAAAAGCTTTATAGAATAATGTTGTACCAAAAGTGAAAAAAATAACCAACCCCAAATGTAAATGTTTGCATAGAGATTATAAGAGGGCCATAAAACCTTAACTGTTTCCAAATAAACGTTATACATGTTCAATTAATTGCAGCTTGTGTGTATAAAAGTAATAAATCAATTTAAAAGCAATTAATAATCACGTACAAACACAAGAAACGGGAATTATAACGTCATTATTGAACGAAATTGACCTCTCAATTAATATAATATATCTTAATTTGAACTACGGCAGAGTTTGTACATTAATGAATTTAATTTATAAATCTATATTGTGGGTATAGTATTAATTAATATTTATGCAATATACTCTTCTATATTTTGGTATTTTGAAGAAATCTCTCACACCAGTAAAATGTTTTGGTTAGTTCTTTGAAATTAAATCAGTAGAGACCGCATTACATAAAAAATGCCTTTACTACAGTGCAATTTAACATAATTTTCGCAAAAATAATATGACATTTGTCAAAACCTAAAAAATTCTATAATAAACGTTAAAAACTTATCTTTCGAATACCACTCGAGAGTTCAATAAATTGGAAAATAATTCTCCTGAATATTTCTTAAACTTGTTGTCATTATCTCGTATCCATTGCAAGACACAAGTTTTGGAAGTATCTGTCGAATTACTTTCAATAGCGTATAGGAAATGCTAACGAAGCATAGGGTTTTCGCAACGCGCGAGCTATCAGGTGGCCCTCGATAGCATTATTTCACTACAAGGTTTGTTAAAAATAACTGCACCCTGCACAAACATAAGTAATTTTTTCACAAAAGAGAGAAAGGTAGAAGTCTTTCGATTTATTATTCTTTATATGCCTATATATTGGGTGTATTTTATTCAAGTGAGAATACTGAATTATTGTGTTTTTAATTGTAAATTGTAATTCAAGAACTAATCGGAAAACGTATTGCATTCAAAAATTTTTGTTACAGCGTTTTTTAACAGATTTTGGTTTTAAAAGCTATTACCGTTAATATGAATTCTATTACAATAATATTTAAGATTTATCATTAAAAATGTATAAAACAATATTGCATTTTAAAGTACAAAACGGTTCTGTAAGAAATCATCACGATCTTGTAAATCCCTTAAAAACGCCTTTTGAAAAGTTAAACAAGAAAGATTACCCACTTTGCATTTTTATTCATTCTTAATTATCGTTCGATGGTCTGGATTATAAGAACAAAGAATTTAAAAATGGAAATAAGCAGGGGTGTAAAAAGAAATCAAAAAGTGTTAAAGAACCCTTAGAACTTTGCCAAGGATTTGTTTTACACGAAGACTGGGGAGCTTAACTTCTCTCAAGGAAATCAACAATAATTAAACATGAGAGAACCTTAAAAATATAAAATATTTGCAGCTGGACTAATACCTATTTTTTATATGAAATTATTGGTCATGGGACATTAAAAATGTAATTTAAATGATTATAATCAGTAAATTTTATTATTTTAAACAATGAAGTACCGGATGAGTCAATGTCGAATATATGGAAATAATAAAAGTCTGATTAGTATTATTAAAGCAACAAGTCATGAAAGTTTACAGAATTATTGGTGAGTTGCCCTAATTTTTTATTGTATTTTTTAATTTATTTTAATGTATTTTGATTTTGATACGCAATTTCTTTAAAGATTTGCTCCAAAATTTTAAGTTGACATTTTTCACGCTAAAATTTTAAAATTAATTTTTGTCGTTTTAGTTTAGAAAAATATTTTTTGTCGAGTGGTTAATAATGCGCCGATTGTATTCGCAATTGTTTATAATTAATGATTTATTTCTCCCGCTTTGAACAATCTTATTCGTTTCCCTGTATATATTTTTATTCCCTCCCGCTAATCAGGTAAGAAAATTTAATGTTCCATTCCCTTCCGCTACCATGACGACGCTACAGTGTGATTGACTTTGAATGTAAAAGTCAAAATTAAATTAATTGTCAGATATAATTTTGACACAACATTTTTTCTGAACCCAAATTGTGTACATAGGTATATTGTTTACCTCGCGGGGAATCGCAATTACTCCCTTAATGAATTCCTTCACTCGATATTAGGCCCGGTCGGAAACTTTTATCATCGGGAGTTTTTGCTATGATTCCACGCTCACTAAACAATATACTAATTTTCCAATGCCATTGTCAAAAAGTCGGCTTTTTTGACATTTAAGTGTCATTTTTGACAGGGCTCTCCTATTTTTGCACTGCAATTAAATCAGCGAACTACCTAAATTTTTGAAACATTTTGAGTAAACTTAAATTTTGTTTTTTGAAAATATTTTTATTAATGATTGTTTAAAAAAAGTTATACCTTACCCTTGAATTTGAATTCTGAAAATTAATATTTTATATTAATAGTCTCAATATTAATATTTCGTTTGGGAACTTTCATCATAGGGAGTAATTGCTATGATTCCACGCTCGGTAAACAATATACTATTTTTGTCTAGATAAAATAATCGAACAAAACCACCATGGTGATTCCATATAATAAAAATAGAATTTTGTCTTTTTTTTAAATTAGGTACTTATAGGCATCTTTCTTTTATACCAATGTTGTCCAAAAGAATAAATAATGGTACTTCTCTCTAGAAGCATTTTTATATTGTCCTAATTAAATTTTATTTATGGAAAACCCATTTTTCTGATAAGCAGAATTTTATATAAAGAATGACTTTTCGTTGAAAAATTTATAATAAAGATTTTTCTACTCTTGATTAAAAATAAAGGTTTACATTTTTAGATTTAAGGCTTTCCCGGTCGCATTTTTTAATCAATTAAGTACTGCATTTTGGGGTTCAGGCGGTGTTAATTTAATAATAATTTACTTATTGAACAATATTTTAGCGCTATTATCATTATGGGCTACTTTAGCACAAACAGGATTTGTTAAAGAGAAACTTAAAGAAAATCTAATGGTTACGGTAAAAGAATGTCAGGAAGAATCGGGGGCATCAGAGGTAGACATGCAAACAATAAAAGCAAAAAAAATCCCCCAAACTGAGACAGGCCTCTGTATGATGGAATGTTTATTCAACAAAGTCAAAATAATGAAGGAAGGCAAATTTAATAAAGAAGGCATGCTGATTGCGGTTACGCCCTTCTTAAGAGGTGATTTAAAAAAAATAAGCAAAATGCGGGATTTTGGAGATAAGTGCTTGGAATACATTGGTGAAGGATCCAAGGAAAAATGTCAGGACGTAAAGTTGCTAGTTGAGTGTTTCCAGAGATATGGCAAAGAGTATGGGTTAGCCATACCATCACCATAAAATTTAACCTTGACATTTGTATTTCTATTAGATCTTGTTTTAAGTGAAATTCTTTGTTTTTAAATTTAATAAAAAAAATGCATTTTAGAACTACTTTTTTAATTCCGGAAAAATACATTTTCTTGTTAATAAAATGGTTTTGCCACCAAACACCCTGTTAGGGTTCTTTTACCTACCTATATATAAAAATTAACACAACATAGACAATTTAAGTTTATAAAAAAAATAATTTAAAAAAATATAAAAGCTCTTCATCACCAATAACTCATTCTTGACCTCGCGCTTTTTTCGTCTTTTTAATTTTAATGTATACTTTGAAAAATCCCAAAATTTATTTTAAACTTAAATATTAAAAAATTGTCGCTTCAGCTTTTAAATTCAATTTTAATTCTGATGAGTATTGTTGTATGGTTCTTTCAAAACCAAATTTACTTTTAATTGACTTGCAAAGTATTTGGAAAATGTAAAAATGAAACTAAAAGTCAATTTTGTGTTGCAATAAAAAACTTTTTGTACTTCTAAATCTAATTCATTAAACAGTTTTATTGATATAATAATAATAAATATTAGTGGAATTTTATTTATTTAATTATTGTTTTGGATATTTTAATAATTATTAATTTTGTAGATACTAAAGAAAATTACACTCATGTTTCTGAAATGTCTGTGATTCTTTTTTAGACTAGACCATATTTTTATCATGTACCATGGTGCAAGAAAACAAAGCATGTTCTTGCGCATTTTTTCCACCACTCCATCAGATTGGCGAAGAGGTGGGAGCACCCAGTCGCCGCCATATTGACTATTCACATTTTGATGCGAGTTGTTTTAAAGTTTTGAGAGTGTAAAAAACCTGCAAAGTGAAAATCTGTAAAACAAAGTAAAAAAACTGGATCCTTAGTATGGGCATGAAAAAATTGATGTTAGGAGAGTAAGTAGATTTATTTTAAAAACAATTAAATAGCTGTAGGTTTTTTAGAGGTACTTTCCTTTTGTATACACAGATTATCTGTGACAGATATACAGGGTGAGTCATTTAACTTAAAACTTTGAAATATATCAGTTAGTATGCATGTTTAAAATAAAAATTAAATGATTCGAGGGGGGACATCAATCAGTACCTACTAAAATTGGTCATCATACTCTTCTTCTTATAGGGGGAACAGGGGGGAACTTTAAAATTTCCAATGGAATTTTTTATTGCATCATTCGACCAAAAATAGGTAGATTTTGTCTAAAACATTTCTTCATATTTGTAACAGATCAAAATCAATTTTGTTCGATTTTTCTTCTGTATACGATTCTGCAATAATTTTTCTATAAAAATATCACTTTTTTTGGTAATAATTATCTTATTAAATCCAATCTGATTTTTTAAGTACCCACGATTTTTTTAACTAATATTTAAGTTTCTTTTAGTTTAGGATTTATACATTATTTCATTCGGTGATAATTATCAAATGCGCACCATGGTCACTTTTTACCTGTAAAAAAAAACAATATTTTGTCAATTAATTAATTTCATCCTAATTGATGTATACAAAATGGTAAATTAGTTATAAATAATAATTATTATTGAGGTATAAAGAAACTATTTCTACATAGTTTAGCAGTATTTAATCAATTTAGTTTGAAGAATAATTTGCAAACAAAAATAAGCAGTTATTCGTAATGGATTAAAAATTGGAAATGGTGGAAAAGTGGAAGAAAAAATAGAAATGATTTGATGATTTTGATTTATGGAGAAGCAGGCAGGAATCTTGATGATGCTGTTAATATCTACGCTCAGCGTTTTCCGGAAAAATTTCGATCACGTACTTCATTTCACCGTACAGTCAAGCAGTTTACTACAAACTGGAGTGTTCAACCGAAAAAAAGAGTTCGAGTCGAGAAAATATTTAATATTGTTGTTTTAATTAAAATTTAAAAAATAAATAAATCAATTTAAAAAATAAACTAAGATGGCGGTAACTGTGGTGCGCAAAATGAACCAAAATTTGTCCTACTGAAGAACATACCTTGTTTTCTTGTATACCATGTTTTCTTGTATACCATGGGTACTACATGTAGGTACTAATTTGCCAACTAAACCTTTAAATTTTTGAACTCAAATTCCGAAAAGAAAACAAACTATCTACCTACTAGGTTTAGATGGCAAATTCTAGGGATCCTAAATTTATATCTGACTACATTAATAATTGTGGTTATGAAATAATTATATGAGGCTAAAAATGTTTATAAATTTAAAGTTTTTACTTTAAAAATATCTTTTAGTCGGTTAATATTTTCCTTATTTCATCAAAATAAGACAGCATTTTTAAAATTTCTTTTTGTTTAGAATTTTACGTTATCTTTAGCATTATATTATATTATAATTCTGACAATTACTTGATAAATGTCAAGGTATTTAAAATTAAGGCCTTGAACATGAGTACCAATTTTAAATATTAAAAATAACAAAAGTATATTGACATAGGTAACATAATCAAATGTTAAATTAAGAATAAAAAAAGTACTCCTTAGAGAGCTCTTGGTTAAACTCGATGGCCAATAACTATAGTAATACTATTTTTTTAATCCACACCATGCACCTTTTTCAGGATACCCTGAAACTACTCACTAAAAATGAATTAGTCAAAAATGACTAATTTAATAGTTATAAGTGGCTGCTTTTTCACTTGTACCATGATTAATCATGGAATACCATGGTATCCCAAAATTTAACAGCCAATTCTTATGTAAAATTGTCCCCTGAATCCTAAAATGTAGTCAAAAGTTAAAAAAGTAGAACAGTTTTTGAGATATAGTAAATTTTACATTTAATATGGAATTGACTTTATGTCAAAAACTGCTCCACTTTCATAATTTTTGATATTCGGATTCAGGGGACAATTTTACATAAGAATTGGCTGTTAAATTTTGGGATACCATGGTATTCCATGGTTAACCATGGTACAAGTGAAAAAGCAGCCACTAACTATTAAATTAGTCATTTTTGACTAATTCATTTTTAGAGAGTATAGTTATAATATATTAAGCGCCCTATTCTGTTACCATCATGTACAGTGTACATTGTACACTCTCTATTGTGAATCATTTATATCTTTATAAAAATAAACTTTTTAGTTCCATCTGCGGTTCTAAATAGGAGTAGGAACAATATCCTTGAAATATCGCTAAAAAGAATTATTCGCAAAAAAACTTGTTTTATTAAAAATTGTTTATTTCTTCATAAAAATACAATGATATAATAATAAAATGATCATAGTACCATGCTTTTGTGTTAATAACAAGTATTTTAAATTAAACTATATTCATTTCAAATTATTCGGAAAATATTAGAACATTTTTGTCACATGTGACAGTGTGTACAGTGTTCATAAATCATAAATCAACTGACAATGGTCGTGATCCTCGGCAATATATAATTTGTTCCACGTCCATTATGGTTTGCAAAGGTGGAGAACGACAAATGATTTGTTACGTTGCAGGCAGCAGGACATAATGACTGCAAAATAAACTAAAAGGGTGCACCGTGATGTGCACCAGTGCATTAAACAAAGAATGCAATCTTTTAGCCCTAATCTGACCTCGCACAATATTTAAGGCCCTTATCGTTGCCCGCATCTTGTATAACCATTTGCACGCGACGCGTTGCATTTAACCCTTTTTACTTTTTTTTTTCGATGCAATTCATTTAGAAAATGCATTTCAATTCCGATAATGCGTATAATCTGTAAATGATTACAAATCAGTATATAATCTATCTGGGATGGGTCAGTTTCATGTGCAAGTCGTGGTGGAATAATTAAATTGAATGGTGTGGGGGCCTTTTTCTATCTTTTTAATGTAATTATGCTAATTGATTTCGTGATGCTGATGTGATAACCATCAATTATTTCTGTCGATTGAAGTTCACGATTTCTGCTTAATTTTGATTCCAATTAAAATCATTTTATGGGTTTATGATTCAAACAGTTTTCTATTGTTTTTATTATTATTTTATATTTAAATTTTTAAATATAAAATAGTATATTGTGCAACTAGTGGAAGAAAGACGAGATTCATCGAGCGTAAAGTTGGAATGTCCTCTTTTGACCAATAGTCTCACACAATATTTTATTCAACTATAGTATACTCATTTTAAACCTGTTTTGATCAAAATTCGTGATACACTTTAAAAATATATTAAAAATGCGTTAAATTTACTTATTATAACTTTAAACTATGGTATATCGGTACACACGTATTGAACAACCTGTATGCATGTATGCAAACAAACGAGTGTGGGCCAAGTAAGGCACCTTGAGGCATACCTGCAGTGTCGTATTTTCTATATACTATTGTTTATTTAACACATTAACTTAATTAAAATAATCAACAATAAATTGGATTAAATAATAATAATAATATTGAATAAATTTTCACATAGTTAATTTTTTTATAGCCAGTTTTTAACTTCTAAGGTTTAATTTTTGGTTCCCAAAATTGTAGTTATAAATTCATATGGGTATAACAAAAACTAAACAAGCAGGCAAAATTAAAAATTATAAAGACAAACAGTTGTTTGACAACGGTAAAGAGAAATGTTGGGCACAAGGAAGTAGAACTAAACGGAACGGGGTCCGATTAAGTTAGTAGATAGGAAAGAGGTCGAAAAATACACAATGTCGTTCAAGGGAGGGAATATAAAAGCAAGTCACTCGTGTGATTCTAAGTTAAATATGTTACAATTTAGCGGAATCTTAATTAAAAGCCCGGCCATGTTTCATTCGAGCCGGATGAACAATATTAGGTTCGCATGTCCTTTTTGGTTGTTCTTTGGTCAAAGGGTGAACGAATGCACCAGCAAATTAAGAGCTATTCACCACAAGAATAAAATTTGACCGCCCTTACTTCAGCCATGTAAATGTTAGCATTGGGATCAGAATAAGAAGAATAGAAGATTTGGACATAATGTTTACGCTTAACAAATTTGTGGGTAATTTAATTTAAAAAGGGTTT